ACAGTAAAATTATTCAAACTTCAAACCAGTATTGAATCCAGTTGGAAACCAGCTAATAGTTTCTTAATCTCAGACTTAGAGATGAATGTAAACTGTATTCTGTTGAAATGTGCGAGTGTTCTTCTAAAGTGTTAGGTGAAAAACGCTATATGCTGCCACAGTAATCAGAAGTGATAACCTGTAAGAGATGTGTTCTAGGAAATCGGGAGGAATGCCATTTTCCTGCTGGGTTATTGCTTAGATAGCTCTGTTTTCTGGTAAAACTTTACTTTTACTGCTATCCACTCCCCTGCCACATAAGCCTAACCTGATATTCTTTGATGACTTTGAAACTGTCCACAATGTGTAACAAAAGTGCCTTATAGAATATGGGTGGTTTTCTAGCTCAGGCTGTAATTTGTTGGTACTTGTGGTTTTCTTTTGGATATTCCAAAATACCTGTTGAATGTTAATGTCACCTCTCTTAGACATAAAAACAGAGCTGATGGGTTCAGGAATGGAAAATTATTGGATGATTTAGGAGGCCCATAGAAATATTTCAGTTTAAGAAACAATAAAAATAAAAAATTTTGGCATTAGGATTTGAAATGTTTCATGTTTTTATTATTAATTAATATTTTTTGAGACAAGTCCCTCTTCTGTTGTCCAGGCTGGTCTTGAACTTGCAGGCTCAAGTGATCCTCCAACTTCAGTCTCCCAAGGAGCTGGCATGACAGCTCTACCCCACCAGGCCTCGCTCATTGGTAATTTGTTATTATTGATGGATGTCAGTTTCTCATTTTGGGGGGCATGCATGAAGATGGAAGCTCGGTGCTGTTTCCCTGTGGATTATGGGATGTCGCCTTTACAGTGACATTTCTAGAACTTTGACATGTAGAGAACCAGTATCCGTGTCCAGCTGTAACTGTTTTTGTCTGTAAGCGTCTAGCAGGCCATTGTCATTACCAAGATGCAGCTGACCCAGGTGCTTCGTGTACTGATAGCTTTTCCTTGAAATGTCCTTATCTCTTGCCTCCATTGCTAAACTGATAATGAGGTTAGTTTCTTGTCATTTTCTTCCTATACCTGAAAAAACATATATTTGTGAACTCTGTGCTGTTTTGCAACTCACAGTGCAGGAAAAGGAGCAAGGTCAATTCTGAGTTCAATCGTGAGTGTGACAGTCATGTACACTCCTGCTGCTATCATGACACAAATCAGTTTTTAAAAAACATACCATTCTATTGGCACCACTAAGTTTTCAAGACTCATGTTCTGTGCTGTTTTTTTTTATTGGTTCATGATTTCCTTCCATTCAGACAGTATCTTCTTTCAGGAGCTCCTAAGAGCACACCATGCATTTTCTTGGACTGTGGCAGAAAATGCAGAAGATGATTAAAGCTTGGGTTTGGTGGGTCCTGATCAAATTCTCATGATTACAGATAGCCATATGTTGGGCTTCTGTGATGTTTCAAAAATGCAGTTACATAATTTTATGATGTAAAACTCTTTACAAATTCAATTACAAAAGCAGTTATCTGTTAGCCCTGGTTTGGAGCTGCTGCGTCCAATATTGTTATGTGACAGGTAACTAAAAAGAGATAATTGAGTTTCCCAAATGTTATATGATGTGCAATATATTCCCCTCTAACTCGAGCAAATATTTTTCCAAAGGCAGCTTCCCTCATTGGGTCCCATGTTATTGCCAGTGCTTCCCATGTCTAGAGAGTTCCTGGTCTCTTGTAGTTTCCATTGCCTGTCAGCCCAGCAAAATGAATTTCACCTGCAATTTCAACATAAGGGTTCTTCTAACTAGAGCACAGCTATCCAGCAAAGATGTGAAAGGTCGATCACATCACAGCCCTTGCATTCTCTGTGACATCTAAAGCTCCGCGAATCCCAGTAGCATGGCTGCTCTGCTGGTGCACAGACGAGGTCAGAAGGCCAGCTAAGTGTTTTGCCTCGACAGTTAGTGACTAGAGGTAGGACATGCTGTGCACTCAGTGCTAAGTGCCATACCCCGTGTACACTGCGTTCATATCTTGGCACAGATTGAAGGAGACGTCAGAGTAATCATGAGGCCTTACGCACGTCGTGGTTGTAAGATGTGCAAAGTGGCACGGCCTGTCTTCGCATTATTACCTGAAAACTGAGTTCTAAGCAATGGCACCCGGTTATTATCTGCTGAAGGTGGAAGTTGGGTGTGACACCCTTATTTCAGCTGGAGACAGTGAGACTCTAAGGCTTAGGATATTTTCCATGGCCATAGATGTTTTTCCAGAAGTAACAAAAAGGAAGAATTAAGCAAATATTTCCAAAGGTGGTTTTGAGTAAATATTTTACATTTTGAGCTATTTGTGCCATACAGTATTGACTATTTACAGGCAAAATATTCTACTGTTCTGGGGAAAATATATTTTTTTTAATAAAAGTCATAGAATATTACCTTAAAATACTTTTTGAGATTGAATTTTGGGAATATTGATGTGTGAAATTGTAAATTATATTTTGATACTGTTCCAGAATACATTATTTCCTGTATGCCTACTTGGAAATGTGTAGATTTAGTCATGTGTTGATCAAAAAGCAAATTATTTTTAAAAAAGCAAATTATTTGTTAACCTATAATTTTGTAACATTTCTTACATTTAAAATATGCCTCCTTAAATAAATTTTTTTTTTGTGAAAAAAGGGATGAATATTTTGTCATTAGAAAGGTTTGGAGTTTTATTAATTCTAGACTTTTAAATATTGTCTGTATAAATAAAATGAATAACACTGTGATTATTCAGGGCTTTATATTTTAAACATTTTTGGTATAGTTTTTTTCTTATTTTGTGCAAGGCATAACCTCTCCATTGTCATAAGCTGTTTCAGTTGTAAGATAGAGGTTTACTCAGGGTACCTTTCTCTTTTATTCCTTCATTCAACAAATTTCATTAGAGAAGTTTCTAAACAGTCGTGTGGAGAAGTAGGTAGAAGAACTGTCACTGCATAGTTTGTAGGTAGATACATCTTTGGGAATTATTATCTTCTTCATGTACTTTGAAGGCAATATCAGAGCTGTTAGAAATCCATAAAAATGCACCCTTGTTTCAAACATTTGGAGGCTTTTTCCAGGAAGCTGCCCATCCTCTAAGCGATTCTAGTGGAGGTGACTCATAGATCATTATTTTGAAATCTCCAAAGGCCATGGCTAAGCACTAGGGTGAAAGATTCACGAGCCCAGGCTGGATCAAGGCAAGCAGAGACATAAAGGAGATTTCTGTTACAGGCAGAGAAGTGTACATGGCTGTCAGGTAATGTGGAAAAGAACTATAGGTGATAGTAGGG